GCGGGAGGCGCCGGCATGAGCGCAGGTGAGTGCCGAGCCCGGGTAAGCCAGCCGGGAGCCCGCACGGACCCGGCCTGCTCCTGATCGCACCTGCAGCAGTGACACGTCCACCTTGGGGGCTCGGCCGGGTCTCCAGCCCAGCCCCCCTCCCCAGGCTCAGGAATTGGCTCGAGGCTTCCCTTGGGGGCCCGGGAGTCTCCGTGCTGGTGCCCCCCGGCCCGCCTTCCCCAGCCCAGCTGCCCTGAGAGGGCGATCCCGCGCAGGTGCAAGAGCGAATTGGGAGCCTGGCGTCGGGGACGGCCACCGCCCACTGCACTCTGGTCCTTAGTGACTCTGTTCAGGTAGGGCCGGTGGAGGCAAGCGTCAGGAAGGCCGCTGCAGCCAGGGGCATCGGGGGTTCCCTCCCTCCGGGCTGGTGCCCCTCATGGCCAGATGAATGATCTGTATCACAGAAAGCCTAGTCCCCTTCCCCCACTGATAGGCGAGTCTTGGGGCACCAGCCATCCATCCCTTGGGCCCCAGGCTCCCAGAAGTAGCTTGTCATCACCCGGATCTAAGGACCACACCCTCCAAGCACCCTTTTCTGGCCGGAGTGGAATGTGAATGAGGTCTCTCGGTGTGGTGCCGCACCCCACCCAAAAGCTCCACTGGCAGAAAGGCCTGCCAAGTTGCCCCCATCAAGATTACAGCCAAGGAAATACGAAGGAGCAGTCCCCTCCTCACACCAGGGGCCACCATGAGTCAGAACCCGCTGGGCAGCAGCTGTGGGTGTGTGGTGGCTGTGAATGAGACCCTTGGCCCAGCCACACGGACCTGAGACCTCAGCCATGGGCCCCCCAAGGCAGGGCCCGCTCTGCAGTCCCCATCTCTCGATCCCCATCTCCCCCCACATCCCACCCTTCTCAGGAGAAGGGAGGAGGACTGGGGGAAGCTGGCTGCCTGGTTCACAGATACAGCGATTGGGATGCTGATAGATCTTCATGCGCTCCCCCTGGCGGGTCCCAGGGCAACCATGATGAGAGGAGGCAGCACTGCTGCCCTGGGCGGCTGCCAGGTCACCAGCAGGAAGCCCAGCTTCCGCAGGAAGCCAGAGGTTCCCAAATTTGGGCTTTGACTCCAACCCCTCCAGGTTCACTCGCCCCTCTGTGCACTGTCTTTCCAAACCAAACCAAGCCCTCTGAGATGGAGTCCATGGCGGCCCTATAGAATGGAGCAGAACTGCTCCTCAGGGTTAGAGGTGTGTCCATCCTTACGGGACCAGATAGTTCACCCTTAAGGGGTGCCATCCCCCATACTTCGCACAGGGCAGTGGGGGCGCTCTGCGGACCAGCTAAGAGGAGCGGGACCCTCAGACCCCCCCCTCCCCCATGTCTGGCTGCTTCCAAACATCACAGCCTGTTCCTCAGCTTCCCCAACTGTGAAGTGGAGATAATAAAACGTCCCCTCGCTGAGTCAGTGCTGCTAACACTGCATCCAAGGCGCTGCCAGGTCAGAGGTCAGTTGCGCTCCTTCCAAAGTGCTCCAACAGTAAGGGAGCTCCAACACAGCAACGCCTGCTGGGGTGCCTGAGCCAGGGTGCTGCCAGGGAGCCTGCGATGTGTGCGGGAAAACGTGTGGACACCCGAGTTTGGGCAGGTGTCAGGTGGGAAAGGTGCCTTTACTTGGGCCCGGGGCTGGGACATCCTCCCTCAAGCCCCTCTCCCTTCCCTCTCCTCCAAGCTTGGCTGGGGAGAGCGCCCTCCTGAAGTGCAGGCTGTAGGGTAGGCCCAAGAGAGAACCTTCCAGAGTGAACGCTGTTTGGATGCTGGGGGAGCAAATGAAGGAGGAGCCTCAGTAAGCAGCAGCTCCCGGGCTCCTCTGCACTTCCCAGCAGGCAAGGGGTGGGCACAGTGACTCCTAGCAGTGTCACCCTCATGCACAGTTATGGCAGTGAGAGGGATGGGCAGCCACCCTTTGATTCCGTGGGTCCTGAGCCCACACTGCGTAGGAGGCCCTGTGAGCAGGGCCGGTGAGGCCCCAGGTGAGCTCTGTAGGGAGCGTGTGGAGTCTGTGGGTGTGGTGAGCAGAGAAGCTAAGAGACAAGTCCATGAACACCTGCCCCTCCAAAACTCAGTGTCCTCACTTGCAAAATGGGGGGAGAGAAACCAGATCAGTGGACTGGTTCCTCTCCCAGGGCAAGCCCAAGCCGCTGGCCTGCAGGGCCACAGGCACGGCAGAGTTGTACCCTGGGCGCAGGGAGAGTGGTGGCACAGGCCAGGAGAGCCTGAGAAGTGGGTCACAGCAGAAACCACACCTCCTTGGCAGCCCAGCCTGCATCGGCCCACGTGGCAGGGCTGCTGCTCAGGCTGCCCTGGGATTTTCACCCTGCAGGTTGGACGGGAAGCCCAGAGAAGCTAAGGCCTTGCCTTAGGAAACACTGAGGGTGCAGTGCTTAAAGGCAGGGACTCAGGAGCCAGGCTACCTTCCGCTGGCCAGGCGGCCTCAGGCAGCTTACCTAACCTATCTGGCTCTCGGTTTTCTAATCTGCAAAACAAGGATTAAAAGGGGCACCCACTTCCTGGGGTTGTGGGGAGGAAGACATGGAAAACTGGGCCTGGCTGGAAGTAAAACCCCCACAGCCTGAGGGGCCCATGCTTTCCCTCACGGGAGCCCCCCTAGAACAGCCCTGATGGCCACTGACTGCCCACCGTGCCCCGCTCTTAAGGAGCAGGTCTCCAGGGAGGCGAAAGGCTTTGGCAAAAAAAGACATTTTGGGACTCCAGGGTCAACAGGACTGGCAGGCTCTTAAAGAGAGCCTCGTTGATGGCAAAGGACCTGAGACTCCAGCACACCACGCTGTGTCAGGGTGCCCCATCGGCTGCTGCTTGTCCATGGTCTGACATGAGGAAGGGAGGGAAGCCATGCTCCTGCCCTGACAGGCCTCGCTTGGGGCTGGGCTAGCACCAGAGGAGACCAACTGGTGTCCATGGTGCCCCACAACTCCAGGGTCCCGGGCTGGTTCCCCCTGCACTCAGGGGACAACTCAGACCCAGGTGGCCTGGCCCACCTGTCTGGAGGCTACATTCCATCCAGTTAGTGGCTATAGTAAGAGTATAAGAGATGTGTAACTATGTGTGTGAAATGATGTGTGTGAGGGGGTGGGGCAGGGAGTATGTCTATACACATGAGGGTGAATGTAGTGAGATGGTGTGTGTGGCGGGGTATGTGAATTGTAAGAGTATGTGAGAATGTGTAACTAACTGCGTGTGTGAAATGGTGTGTGTATGTGAGGTGGTATGTCTATATATATGTGGGTGGTGTTGGGGTGTGAATTATATAAGTGTGTGAGAACTATGAATGTGCGTGCAATGGTATGTGAGGTAGTGTGTCTGTGTATGTGTGCAAATGTGGTGAGATGCCCATCACACCGACTTCATAGAGTATTCCTCGCATGTAGTGCCAGGGGCAGAGCCCACCATTCAGTGTGTAACTTGTTTAATAGTGAGAATGTGTAAATGTGCATGTCAGAGTGTGTGTGAAATGGGGTGTGTGTGTGTGTAGTGGTGTGTGTGTGTGTGTGTGTGTGTGTGTGTGTGTGTGTGTGTGTGTGTGTGTGTGTGTGTGTGTGTGTGTGTGTGTTGAGAGGCCCCTGATTTCAAGCTCTCCCTGAAGGAGTGACCCCACCATTAGTTTCGACACCGGCTCAGTTGACGAGGGAGGGGCTGGCCATCGGTGGGGATCTGGCTGTTGAGGGCTCCAGGCCTCAGGATGGGCAGGCCTGTGTCTGGCAGTGTGGAAGGGCCGGTCTGTGCCCCTCTGAGCCACAGTCCCCTGCCGTGTAAATGGTCCCCTCATGGCTGAGGGTCAGGCCTGCGAGCCTTCGAGACTTCTCCTATCTCCCAGGAAATCCCTGGCGGATGTCTTGAGACTTCTCCTATCTCCCAGGAAATCCCCCCCGGCTGACTTCGCTGCCCTTGTTATCATTATGACCGCTGTAATTACGGTTGCCTCGCACGTGAGAAGATGCAAGCTGGGGAGCAGAGAGGGCAGGCTGCCTGGTCTGAGGGGTCACGTGGCCCCAAGTTGCAGGAGTTCCCAGGCGGGGCCTCACAAGGTCCACAGCAGAAGCCTGGGGCCAACCCGTCCGCTGTGCTCCTCCCACCTGCTTGCTGTGTGACCTGTGCCAGCTACTCGACCTCTGAGCGTCCTTGTCTCCTGCCAAGGGGATGCCCATCACACTGACCTCAGAGAGTCAGACCTCAACCTGTGGGTCGCGACCCCTTTGGGGGGTTGAACGACCCTTTCACAGGGGTGGCCGGATTCGTAACAGTAGCAAAATGACAGTGATGAAGTAGCAATGAAAATAATGTTATGGTTGGGGGGTCACCACCACATGAGGAACTATATCCAGGGTCGCGCCATAAGGAAGGTTGAGAACCACTGCATTAGAGTATTCCTTGAATGTAGTGTGGGAGGCAGAGAAGGAAGAGACCCCGAAAGTCACCCTCCCTATACTGCAGTGGACCCCCCCACCCACTGGCTTCCCTGCCCCCAATGAACTTTTCCAGAAGTCCTCTGAAACCTGCAGCCACCCTGCACCCACCTCTTGCTCAGCACTGTCCAGCGGGCTTGGCGAGGGCACGGGCATCAGCATGCCTAGCAGGTGCTCCAGGGGCCAACCTTAGAGATGCTCTGACGGGGCTGTCTGAGGATGGGAGCAGTAGCCCCCTAGCCCACTGCAGAGTACCCCTGTCTGTCTGCCCACTGCACCAGACATGTCCCCTCAATAGAGCTGTCAGCTGCTGTTCCCTGAGCCTCAGCTCCTCCCATCTGTGAAATGAGCATCCTGTTAACTGTGCAGGTGGACCCCGGCAGCAGCTTCTCTCCCCAGGCTTCGAGGGCCCCTTCCTCTCCTGCCCACACCTAGTGGCTGGGTCCCCCTACCTGTGTCCGTTCTTCTTCTTTCAGGGTCCGAGCAGGCTCCACAGCTGCCTTGCAGGCCTGACACTCATCTGTCCAGACTCAACTTCTAGCCTCTGGTCACGGGGGTGGGGGTGGGGGTGGGGGGAGTATAAAGCCAACTGGTGTAAAGTGGGCTAGCGAGCACAGAGTACAGACCTCCAAGCAGTTGAGTCACTGATGATGGAGCAGCATGCGCCACTTGGGGCCCACACCCAACAGAGATCTTGAGACACAGCAGGAGTCAGCAGCAGCGGCCAGATGCAAGACATATGGGGACCTCAGACCAGCATGTAAGATGACCGTGTCCCTCTGTCCACAGACAGAAGCCCCCTCGTGGGCAACCCACCCGCCAGCTATGGGACCCTGACGATAGAGACATCTGTCAATCCCCTCAGCTCCTCAGTTTCATCTGTGGTAAGTTTGGGGGCGCAGAATACCCCAGCCCACCCTAGCACCCTGGCTGCCTTCTCCCACCTTGCCCCTCACTGGCCTTCTCTTGCCGGCCGGCCTCCACAGAGGCTCAGCGGCTACTGTGGCCATCCATGGAGGGCCATGGGCTACCATGCCGTGGTCTGGCTGATGGCTGGGATCCCTTTGCTGCTGTTCCGGTGGAAGCCGGGGTGGGGCGTGCGGCTCCGGCTCCAGCCCTGCACCCTGGCCCGCGCCGAGACACTCGTCATCGAAACAAGAGACCAAGAGGTGAGGCTCCGTCTGGCTCCTCGGGGAGGACATTCTCTCTGGGCCTTGGCCTTCCCATCTGAGCAGTGGGCACACGGGTGGTGGATCCTGAGGAAGCTGCCAAGCACCCTGTTGTCTACCTTCCCCAGGGCCTCCCAGCCTGGGGGCTTCCCCAGGACTGAGCCCCAAACTCCTGTGTTCCAGGATAGTTCCTGGCAGCTCCACACTGTCCAGGTGCAGACGGAAGCCATCAGCGAGGCCAGGTGAGGCAGCAGCGTTGCCCCCTCCCAGAAGCCCCTGCTCCCCCTCCCCTCCCTCTAAAGGCCCTGAGCTTAGTAGCCCCAAATCCCAGGGTGGATGGGTGATTGTGGGGCATAGAGGTGCTGAGAAAACATCCAAGTAACACACTCCAACCCCCACCCAGCTACCTCCCCAGCCTGGACCCAGTGCAGCCAGAAGATGGCCGGAGCCAAGCCGCCGTGGGAGCAGTACCAGAATACACGTGGCAGGACACCACTCGGCTCCACCAGAAGGAGGAGGGGGTCAGTGACCCACCAGCTGACTGCTGGACAAGCCCCCACCCCTCTGGACCTCAGTCTCACCTGTGTACAAGGCGGGGGCGGGCCCCATATTCTCTGAGCACCTTCTGGAATGCTGTCTGACCTTGGCTTCACCCCCAGCCTCATCCCATGACACCGGTCTCTGTTCCCTGCTTCTCCCATTCCCCTCTCCCTGGGCATACACCTACCCCACCTTCTCCCACCCAGATGTGTGTGCTGCGATACTACCTCTTCCGGGGCCAGCGCTATGTCTGGATTGACACCCAGCAAGCCTTCTGCCAAGTCAGGTAGGGTCAGGGCAGAGCCATGCAGGCGTCCTGAGTGGGAGCAGCGGCTCTGGCCTCTGCATGGGGGACCTTGGGCTGTCTCTGCCCTTGCCCAGCCTCAGTCCGCAGCAGGAGGCAAGCCTGCCCCAAGGGTGGGCTCTAAGGGTGGGCTCCAAGGTGGAGCGGCGCGTTTGGGCCACAGCCTCCGCCCCCGGTAGTCCTGGTCGGTGCAAGAGAGAGGGCTCTGGGACCAGGCGGCCGGCTGAGTCTAGTCCATTTTCTCCCCACTCCTAAGCTCCTCATGGGGGCCTGCTCGCCGCGTGTCCCCGAGTCTTGGGGGTGGCCCAGGAAACAGCTAGGGACGAGGGGTGGGGAGGGAAGCAGCCAGCAAAAGCGCCTGGCATTTGGTCCCAGTCGGAGCACGCACCTCTGGTTCCCTCACCCAAGGTGGTGGGGGGGGGGCCGAAGGTGGGTTCTTGAGTCCCACATCACCCACTGTGTTAGTCTGGGTACTTTGGAGAAACAAGTCCACAGCAACTCATGGATAAGAGAGAGTTTTATGCAAAGAAAATGTGCATCACGAAAACATCCCAACCCATTGCTGCCCAAGCCCACAAGTCCAACATTAACCCATACCCAACACCAGTCCACAAAGTCCTCCACCTCACAAAACAGAGGTAATGA